AAGAAAATCAACAGAAGCCTCTGGGGTGAGGTTGGCCGCTTATGCCTGTGCTGCCTCTTTATTGACTGCTGCTCAACAGCGGATTTGATATTGTCATTTTTCAAAGATTGGAATGCTGCCTCAGTGGAAGGGGAGTTCCCTAATCCTTTTATGTGGCAGTCACTCCAACGCATACGTGCTGTTTCATGTTGTGCATGCTGGCTCTGTTACACATGTGTCACTGTGCCACTACAGGGCCAATTCCCTGCATTCCCTTTGAAGCCAAATAGTAACTAGTCTAGATTTCCAGAAACGGCTCGAGTCTCATCCCAGAATGTTAGTGTTGCTTGAAGCCCAGGACTAAGGTTTTCAGTCTCTCTAGCTGCAATGATGTCAGGATTCTGTTTGGAATGCTCTGTCCCAGAGTCAGGAACTTAATTCAGTTATTGACTTCATGGTTTTAGAATCGACGAGACAGGCCTTGGCATGGACTCAGGCTCATCCATAACTGTAGCAGCTGCAAGGCTCATGAGGCACACTGACTGTAACATACTAGTCTCAATACTAACTGCATCAGGTAAAAACTAGAAATATCTTTTAAAGCTAAGAAAAGAGAAGCACAGAAAACCTAACAGATGACCAGAAAAAGATCCCTGAAATCCTAAACCAAATCTCACAATTAGCCTTTATTAAGCTCCTACCATGTACACTATGTCTGGTGCTGGGTGTATAAAGACCAAAATGGCAAACTGAAAGTCTTGACTTCAAGGAACTTGGTTGGTTAGTTATTGTCCTTCATCTTTGAAGAGGACCAAAATGACATCACTATGTTAGTCAAGTTACCACGTATCCCATTGTGGCTGATCAGACCAATACTAGCTTGGAACACTTTACTACAGGTCAGACACAAGTAGTCCATGTGAACATTTGGGGCAGATTCTCTAAATTTGTGCATCTCACGTTTCTTTTGAGCTACTTCAATTCTGCTTTGCTCGTAGAGCACAGCACCTTCTCTGATGAGGGCACGCCATGCTGGGCTGTCCTGTGCCAGTGTCTCCCATGTCATGCAATCAATTCCAAAGCTCTTCAGAAAGACCTTGAGGGTGTGCTTAAGCCAAGAAGCATGCAGGTAGTCAAGACACTTAACATTCTATCAGGGGAGATATGCCCACATGTAAGAATACAGCAAATAGACACAAATAAGTAATTTTGTCAAGGAGTGCCCTCCATGAAACTTTCCCTGATCCTCAAATCCCTTCTGAGCTATAAGTGAGCTTCTCACTACTATGAAGAACCATAGAACTTTGTTCATATCTCCATCACACCTATATTCTATTTTGTATGATTATAATAATAATGTCTGGCATTTACGTAGTTCTTTAAGGCTTAAGGTTTCAAAGCACTTGGTGTGCATTACCTCATTTGAGCCTCACAACAATCTTAGTGAAGTAGATAACACAGGTATTTTTATTTCCATTCTACTGGTGAGGAAACAGAGGTAGAGGTTAAGAGGCTCACCATAGCCATACCCCTAGACAATCTCACTGCTGTGATTCAGAACCAGGTTTCCCCTGATTCCAAGTGCCTCTTAATTATTGTTTTTGTATGCATTTTATCCTCCTAACTATACTCTAAGCTCTTGACCTGGGATGCAGTGGATGACCCTGGCATCTTTGATGTCTGATCATGCTCTAAGCACTGCTTCAGCCACCTTCATGGTCCCTGAAATAAATTATTCTCATCTGCTCTTTCCACCAGGGGAATTCTTTACATGCTTTACCCACTCAGTGAGTTTGAGGCCTATCAGTTAGCCTCAACCTGGTTTAGTCTGTCTGCTGAGATGGTTATATGGGGTGTGGCCTCTGTGCATGCTACAGCTTCTTGGAGCCACAGGTGAAAGTTGGGTGACAGGTGGACACCAACGGTAAATGAACAGCCCCAAAAAGGTCTTGGTAGTTCTCACAACAGAGGTGCTAGTCCCCCTTGAACACCCCATTCACTCCTATATTAATTCCTTTATATCCCTTCAGTGCCTTTCTAAAGAGGAGAATGTTTGGAAAAAATGGAAAAGAACATTGATGGTATTATTCAATGTGACTGAGAAAACATCAACAACTACTGGTTTGTGTTCCTGCTTTCTCAGTTCTATAAAATATTTATGGAAATGATCTATGCTCATATCAAGGACATTCTTGATGGAAGTATTAAGAAAGAAACAAGCAGTCTATCACAGACCTTTTCCTTCAGTATACTACATAATAACAACAACAACAATAATAGAAACATATCCAGCATCTGTATGCTTTAAAGTTTGCACGGTGCTTTACAAATATTGTCTTATTTGCTCCTCAAAACAACCCTGTAAGGTAGGTGCTATTATTGTCCTTATTTTATATTTTACAGATGAAACTGAGATAAGCAGAGGTTAAGTGATTTGTCCAAGGTCACACAGTTAGAAAGTGTCAGAGGCCAGATTTGAACTCAGATCTTCCTGACTCCAGGTCCAGTGCTCTCCCTACTTTACCACATCTTTACAGTCATGCAACTGAGAGATGAAAACCCTACAAGATCTTGCCGTAACTATTCTTGTTAATTATAAAAAGGGATCTGAATACATGGGATAAAAGATAACCTTAAAGCTTCTCTTCAAACAAGATGTTTCCCATGAATACATTAAGATCCTACAAGATTCCTCAAATGAGACAAAAACAGAGATAACTATGTTCAACGAACCTCTGTTTATAAATATTGAGCAAGACAAGAACAAGGAGACATATCTGCCAAAGGAGTTTGCCACTATAAAGAGTGTTGTCTTATGAAGAGCCCAAATGGAAAAGTGTCTTTACAGGGAAGCACTCTTCCATTCTAACACTTCACACTATAAATCAGTGGTGTCAAACCATGGGCCAAGAGTTTGACACCTTTGATATAAATGATGAGATTCCCAACATATTTGTGAATGATGTTGTATTGATCACAATAATCTTTCAGATACTACAAGGGCTCCTCAGTGAGATGCATGGCCTCTCAAAAGAAAAAGGCTAATGAAGCACATGAGAAAAATCAAGTGGAATGAGGAACATGTATTTCCCAGATCATCATGGCATTCAGTCCAAAGGACTAGCCATCAAATTAGTCCATTAGTATCTAAGCTGCAAATAAGAAATGAGCTAGACCCAAAACTGAATAAAAGGAAGATAATAAGTTACATTTTATTTAGGAAACTGTGTTTCATTTCCAATTATTACTGAGTGCTACCTGACACAGAGTCTCATCATTTCATCACTAATATTCTCTTGGTAATGCTATTATGGTTGTGAATCTGAAAAGCTATGACCTCCAAAGAGTCAGAGTTGGAGGTGAGCAAAAGGGTACTGGAGAAGTTTGTGGCCAATAAATCATTTGCATGCACAAAGTCATATAAAAGAGATCATCAAGGACATTGGAAAAGGAGGTGGACTAGTCATGTCACAAGATCAAGGTCAGCAAATGGGACAATCTAAGTTTTGCATTATTATTTAAGAAACAGCTAAAGGCCTAGAGTTAGGTGGAGCAGTGGATACAGTACTGGGCCTGGAGTCAGGAAGACACATTTTCCTGAGTTCAAATCTGGCCTCAGACACTGACTAGCCATGCGACCTTGGACAAGTCACTCAACCCTGTTTGCCTCAGTTTCCTCATCTGTAAAATGAGCTGGAGAAGGAAATGGCAGAGCACTCCAGTATCTTTGCCAAGAAAACCCCGAATAGAGTCACGAAGAGTCAGACACAACTGAAATGATTAAACAATGACAATAACAACATAGAGCCAGACCTAGAGGAAGCTCTCTAGCACATTCAATGTATCCTCTGTGGAGGGTTTGTAAAAGAACGTGGACAAAAATCAAATGGAATGAGAAGGCTTGGATAGGGTACAATCTGACACAGCTGTCGGTCTGTCCGTCCCTTCCCCACAACACTTAATGCCATCTTGGGTATATGATAATAAGGCAGCCTGCACAGAGAGTGCTGACTCAAGTTCTGACTCACCACTTACTAGCTGTGTAAATGGGCACAATGAAACCTGCCTCACCTTCCTCAAAAGGTTTTTGTGAGGATCAAATGAGACCATGTTTATAAAAAGCACCACATAAACTATAAATCAAGCTGAGCGTGGTGGCGTATGTCTGCAGTCCCAGCTGCTACTCTGACGGCTAGGCTGACTGAGTTTAGGAATTCTGTACTAGGGTCAGAGCTAAAGCCAGTCTCATGTTCCCACTCAATCCAGCACCAAGGTAGTCAATCCCTGGGCTCTGGTGAGCTACCACACTGCCTAAAGAGAGGCAAAACTAGCTCAGATCAGAAAAATGGAGCTTCCAATGAAAACTTCCATGCTGATCAATATTCAGATTGGGCCCACTGAGTGGTCATTGCACTTGCAGCCTGGGTGAGATAGGGACAGGGTCTCAGGAAAAACAAAACACAACACAACTATAAAACTAACTTGGGTTTGTGTCATCAGAGTCTTTCTAAGATCAAAATAAAAATGGAAAATATTTAGTTGAATATGTACTAGAGTTAAAAAAAGTCTGTCTTTCACCTGAGGAAATTATATATTTTTCTACCTGGGGGGCAGGAAGGGGGGACACAATCACAAACACCTTTTTATCTGAAACTACACACAAAAATCAGGTCACTTAGTGAAGAAACAGCTTCTGACATCTATAGACTTCCACCAAAAATAAAACTCACAGTTTTGTCGTGACTTCAGATCTCATAGCGTCATAGAACACTGAGGCCGAAAATGGTCTTCAAATCCACCTAACCCATTTTCCTCAGTTTAGGGAGAGTAAAACTGAGGCCTGGGGAAGGGAAGTGACTTACTTGTGGTCACAAAGGGAATTATTGGCCAGGTCATGGGTTTCCTCCACTATTCCCCAGCTCCCTCTTTCTGTTGATCATGATTTTCTTCCTAATTCACAGAACAATGTTCTTTAAAGAAGAGCCTTCTCCAATAACTCCAATATTTCAAATATTGCTTACCTGTTGTCTTTTCAGTAAATACAACTTTAGATTCTGCTGTAAAATTCTGGCCAGTGAGGATCATCTGTTGTCCTCCATAAACCAGGCAACTATCAATATCTTGCCTTTCAACCATGGGCAGCTCATGTGCAGATCTTTGGGCTGAGGATAAAAATCAAAGAAATTACATGATCAATAAAGAAAGTCTGTTCTGTAGCCGTGGTAAAAATTCAATTCAACAAGCAATTATTAAGCATTTATTCTATGCTAGGTACTGAGGACACAGAGACAAAAATGAAAACTCTCTCTGTCCTCTAGGACAGGAGTGGGGAACCTGCAGCCTTGAGGCCACATGTGGCCTTCAACTGAATTCAAACTCAAAGGGCCACACTTGAGGACCTAGAGGGCCACAATGTGGCCTCGAGGTTGCAGGTTCCCCACCCTTGCCTTGGAACTTTTATTCTCCCAGAACAATATTCTAATTTTACAATTTAAGTCACCTCTTATTAGAGAAAGTAAGAGTCACAGAAAAGAAGGCTAAAAAAAATCCACAAGATTTAGTGCTGGAAAAGATGTTAAAGATCACCAATTCTAACACAATGCCTTCATTTTTATATGTAAGGAAACTGAGGTTACGGAAGTCAATTATTTCCCTAGGATTCCTTCTGGAATGTGAGCAAGAGAAGAGTTGGAGTTGTTTTATTTTTTTCTTTTCCCCAGTGAGTAAAACTAAACTCTTCTGATTTCCTCCCAAAGGTCCAAACAGCTGGGCAGAGAGCCAGCTCCTTTTAAGTCAGTATCTTGAAGGTCTACATCAAGATGGCCCCACTTTTCAAGCCAGCACAGAAGCTTCGCTGAGGTTTGGAGCCTGACTTCATATGCCAATCCACCTATTTTCTCTTCTGTCACTGCCAAAGGATACACAGAACACAGAATGTTAGAGCTGGAAGGAATGTGAGGTATAGAATGTTAGAGTCAAAAGCGACCTTAAAACAAAGAATATTACAGCTAGAAGGGATCTGAAAACTCCAAATGTTAAAAAGCAGAATTCTGAAGCTAGAACGGACCTTAGAGATCATCTAGTCCAATAGCCTTTAATTGACAGAGGAAGAAACTGAGTCCTAGAGAGTTGAGGTGATTTGCTGAAGATTCCATTACTAGTGACAGGTGCAGGCCTAGAACCCAGCTCTGCTGAATCCCAGACCTGGCCTCTTTCTGCAGTACCAGGCTGCTTCTCTGCTTAATAGCTGTTGGGGCCAATTTTAAACAATCTCTTCTCTAGAAACTGAACAGTTGGCAATGTTATGAAAGTCCCTTGTGTAGAGCCAGGATGCGCCAAAAGCTTCGTCTTAAAAATGCAACTTAGCATTTTTCAGCAATAAATCAATCATGAGCTATTCGTTTGTCGGCTTTTCACTTCCCAAATTCTGCACTCTTATTGTTCCCAGAGACTGTACTGCAACAGCTGGTCAAAGTGGCTGCCAATTAAAAGTATATATGAAAATGTCTCTTCACAGAAGCTGCTAATTTCTTCCACATGGGCTGGATGATTAATTCTCCCTTTAAATATTCAAGTTTTCTGATGAGTTCATAATTGAATTGACCACAAACTGAGATTTATTAGCAGTGAAAACATCAACAGCATTCACTGAGAATTAGGGTCTAGTTTTCAAGATTCGCATGCAGTTACTCTGTATCCTAATGAAAGGATGGCACTCTCAGTGACAGAGAGACTTTTATCCTATAACATCAAAGATCAATGCCCTTTTGCAATGGGGAGGTTCCAAGTACCATTATTCTCATTTCACAGGTGGAAAAACTTAGTCATTGCTATGAAGTAACTTGTCCAAGGGCACACAGAAAGCCAGGAACTAAATCCTGGATGAGATCTACTTGGTCTGTTAGTACTGGGTGGGAAACTGCTCCGGTAAGGCCTGCAAATATGAATTACCATGCATGCATTCCCAAACAGCATACTTTTATTTTTTAATGCCATTTCCCCCTTTAATCCCCTTTCAGGTTCTAGTGGTTTAAAAATCCAAAACTTTATTTTTGGTATATAACTTTGGCAAATATATAACTACACTGACATGGGCTCATACACTTGGAACCACATGAAACTTCAAGTCTCTCTAGTCTGACTCCTTTGTTTGACAGATGAGCAGCCAAGCAACTGAGGTTAAGCAACTTACTCAGGTAACAGAGGCTGGAATCAATCCTAGCTTTTCTGACCCCAAATCTAGCATTTCTCCCACTATACAAGATTGTGTCCTACACATATAGGCACTGCTCCTTTCAGGAGTACAGAACACAATTCTATGCCTTACATACACACACGCACGTGCACACACATACACACACACACTCATTACACATTCACACACACTCATACACACATTCACACACACACACACACACACACACTGACATCCTTGCTTCCTCCCCACCATTTCTCACAATTGACTTTATGTATCCATCCCAATTCTTATCATGATACTTGCCCAAAGGAAAGGCTCCTTTAAAACAAAAAGGAGGAATTCACTCAGATCTTGCCAGATTTTTACTCTGCCCCATTCACTGTCACACTTCTTCAGGAAATTCCACGAAGATTGTAAAAGCAGTCAATGGTCATCAGATACCATTTTGACATTTTCCAAAGTACCTTCCTACTCATTCCTGCACCTGAGTGTCTCAATCACCCAGTGAGGCAGATAAGGTAGGTTTTATCTCCGTTATATCAGCAACATTTATTAAGTGCCTGCTATGTGCCAAGCACTGTGCCAAGTGATGAGGATACACAGAAAGGCAAAAAAGAAAATCCCCTGCTTTCAATGAGCTCACAGTCTAATAAATGCAAACAGCTCTGTACAAACAAGATACATATGCAGGGTAAATTGGAGATGATCTCAGAGACAAGGCACTAAGATAAAGGACTAAGAAAGACTTCTTGCAGGAAAACTTGAAGGAAACCAGGTAAACTAGAAGGTGGAGATGAGAAGGAAGATAAGGGGACTGCCAGTACATGCCCCGGGTCAGGAAATGAAATGTCTTGTTTAAGAAACAGCAAAGAGGTCACCGTCATCACAGTGATAAGCAGGCAGAACAAACAGCATAAGGTGTAAAAAGATGGGAAAGGTAGGAAAGGACCAAATTATGGAGGGAGTAAAAGCCAAAGAGAGGATTTTATATTTGAGCCTGGAGGCAGTAGGAGCCACTGGAATTGACTGAATGAGGGGAGGAAGGTGACATGGTTCAACCTTCACTTTAAGGAGAACAATTGGACAGTTGAGTGAAAGATGGATTACTGTAGAGAGAGATTTAAGGCAGGGTGACCAACCAGAAGACTATTGCAATAGTCCAGGTGATGAGGTGACCAGGGTGAAGGCAGTGTGTATATAAGAGATGTTACAAAGGTAGAAATGAGCAGATTTGGCAATGGATAGATATGAGGGATGAGAGAGCAAGGAGAGAAGGATGAAGTCTAGATAGCAAGCCTTGGTGAGGGGGAAGATGGTGTTTCCCTTAACAGTCATAGGAAACTTAGGAAGAGGGGAAGGATTGGGAGGAAACATTAATGTTTAGTTTGTGATGTTCAATAGGCAGTTGGAGTCAAGATCTGAAGTTTGGAGAGAGGTTAGAGCTGGACAAATGGATCTGAGGATTCTCTGCATAGAGATGATAGATGAACCCATGGGAGCTGGTGAGATCACCAAGTGAAATAGCACAGAGAGAGAACAGAAGGCCCAATACAGAGCTTTGGGGGACTCTCACAGTTAGTGGGAATGACCTGGATGAAGATCCAGCAAAGGAAACTGAGAAGGTTTGGTCAAATAGGAAGGAAGATAACAAAGAGAGAGCTGTGTCACAAAAACCTAGGGAGAAGAGAGTATCAAGGAGAAGACAGTGATAGGTCAAGAAAAAACAAGCACTGGAAAAAGTCCATTAGCTCTGGCAATTAAGAGATCATTGGTAACTCTGGAGAGAGCAGTTTCAGTAGAATGTCAAGATTAGAAGCTGTACAGCAGAGAGATAAAAAGAGAGTGAAAGGAAAGGAATGGAGGCATGAATTATAGATGGCCTTCTCAAGGAGTTCAGCCATAAAAAGGAGAAGAGATCTATGGTGATAGCAGGGACAGATGGATAAAGTGAGTGCTTTTGAGGATGGGGTGGGGGGAGGAGGAGTGAATGAGTATTAAATACCTACTACGTACCAAGCACTGTGCTAAGCACTTTACGAGTATTGTTATTTGATCCTCACAACAACCCTGTGCTATTATTATCCCCATTTTTACAATTAAGGAAACTAGGACAGACATAAGTTAAGTGAGTTGCCCAGGGTCACACAGCTAGTAAATGGGTCAGGCTAGATTTGAACTCAGGTTTTTCTGACTCCAAGCCCAGCGATGTGCCACCAAGCTGGAGGATGACATGGGTATGTTTGTAGGCAGTAGATAAGGAGATATTGAAGATTAGTGAGAGAATAGAGGTGATAAAGGGGGCAATCTGCTGGATATTGAGGCTCAGAGAGGAGAAGAAGCCTATCAAAGACTATACAAGTGGTTAATGTAAACACCAAAAAGTTGAATCTAGGTCTCTAAGCTCCTAGCCCTGTGCCATAAATTTAAGAGGAATGAGCTGAACATCAGGCTATGATATCTTCTTTCCCTTCTCAGGGAGCACAGCAATCACTTAGGGCTGAAGATCAAATGAAACCCATATCCAATTAGAACCATAGGGGATGAGAAGCTGGGCAAAGCAAAGCATCATCCAATATTACAATCACTAGGGCCCAATTCTTTCTCTGATGCAACCACATAGCACCTATTACTACTAATTGGAACTACACATCCCACTGGAGTCACTTCATGGCACTATTCTTCACTGCCAGGCTTATTTTCCATGATCTGCTGACAGATGTCAGCAAATTCGGGCCTTCTCAATTATTTCTTAAACTTAGTCTATCCAAATTGTCATTGAGCTTTTTGTCCAAACCAATGTTGGATAAGCATCTAATGGCAAAAGCAGTGGGGCACAGAGAACAGTGTTCCACTTTTATCCAGTGAGAGTCATCTCTTTCTTCAGGGAAAAACTAACCCTTCTCCCCACCCCTAAAGGTAAAGATACTCAGAGTTACTACCTTCAAAACTTCACCCGGTTTCTCT